AAAAAAAAGAAAAAGAAAAGAAAAGGACCGTACTTTGGTCAGGATTTGGGCTGAATAACGATACTTGCCCAGTCGGCCTCGGCTGCAGCCCTTCAGTTGAGCGCTTTAGCCCAACGGCGATTATTGCCTTTCCAAATTCCAATGCATTTTTTAACCCAAAAAAATAAAGTCATACTACCATATTTAAACAATCTTCCATGTAACCCTAGTTCCTATTTTTCTCAATATTCTCCCAACTCTTCCCTTCCCCTTCCGATCATCTATGGCACCAAAGCGCCCTGATCCCAAAGAGGAGCCGCCGGCTGCTTCTTCATCGGAGGAGGAAGAAGAAACAACCTCTGGGACACAAGAGGAGACATCGGGGGAGGAGGAGGAGGATGATGATGAAGAAACCCAGACCACTCCGACCCTGAAAAACCTACCCGTCAAAAAGCCTGTGATTGCCTCCCCTCCTTCTGTCGCCACAACAACCACCAATACCGGGAACCAGTCATCGGAGTCCGGTGAGTCAGAATCCGACGAGTCTGAGACGGACTCTGACTCTGCTGTCCCTAATGTCAAGCCTATTGAGACAAAGCCCATCATGGACGAGAACACAAAGAGCAAGCAATCTGCTGCGAAACCCGCTGCTTCTGCCACCAAATCAACGGCGAAGCGTCCTGCAGAATCGAAACCAATTCAGAAAGAGACAAAGCGGACCAAGAAGGATTCAGAGAATGGCGAAGAGGAGGGGAAGAAAACTGGGGATGATGTGAAGAAACATTTTCAGCGGGTTTGGAGCGAAGAGGATGAAATTGTAATCCTCAAAGGTATGATTGAATTCTCTGCTAAAAAAGGGACAGACCCTACTTCTGATATGAATGCATTTCATGAGTTCATTAAAAATTCGCTCCAACATGATTGCACAAGAGGAAAGTTGTTGGATAAAATAAGGAGGCTGAAGAAGAAATATGTGAACTATGTGGGGAAGGGAAAAGAGGATGGATTCACTAAGCCACATGAAGAGGAAGCTTATAAATTGTCTAAGATGATATGGGGTAATGGAGAGAAGTCGATAGTGAAAGTGGAAACTCCTGTGAAATCCAAGGCGAAACCAACACCGAAGAAAAATCAGAGTTTGGCTGCACTGCCATTCCCGGATGCGAGTAAGGAGAGCAAGACAGGAGAGGTTTTGCTAGATAAGAGAATTGGAGTGGCTAGCATAGAAGAGGAGGTGGTATCTCGTGGATTGGATGTGATTGGGGGCGAGAAGAAGGCAGCCATGGAGGAGAGGTGGAGGAAGTTGCGCATTGCAGAACTGGAACTGTATTTGCAGAGAAACCAGTTGGTTGCTGAGCAAGCTAAGTTGTTGTTGGACCATTACAAGTCTGGCAAAAATTAGAGTTCTTACTTGGGTGTTTTTGTGTTATTTCTTAGAAAATTTAGATTTTGAAATAGCTAAATTCTGGATATGCTACCCATGTAAGTTTTTATATTTGGAATTGGAACCTTACTTCTTATTATTTTCCTTGGCATGAATGAGCATTTTGATTTTGATTCTTCTTCCATTCTATTGGTAACAAGGTGTTCTTGTCTCATCTCTGCCTGGTGCAAAGATTGAGTCTTGCTTATTTTTGCCTATATTGAAAAGAATGCCAAGTAGTTATCTTAAAGCTGAGATGAAGCAAAATTTATAAATAAAGCATGTTGTTTTCTGCACTTTAAACTTTCGTCACAGCCAGACAGCAAACATGTGTCACATTACAAATAACAATACGTCTTTACAAAACTTTATTTGCTTAGAACAGAAAATATGAAGAACCAAGAACAGAGGAATGATTGCTGCCCAGGTTTCGTCCACGGAGACACTCCAGATTCATCACATGGGAGTGATCCACAAACAGGTTCACCTGAAAGTAAATGCAATGAATGAGAGTGACTTGAACATGTAAAACTAAAAATCAGTAAATGGGAAATGCCAGTGAAGAACGTTGTACCTTAGGTCCATATTGCTTGACAAACCATTCAGAAGTGCTGGCATCAGATGCTTCAAACATGGTTTTCTCAAGGCCTAGGCGCCCAATTACCTTGGCAATTATGTCTGCCCTTACAGAGTCAGCATTTTTGCAAATATCTTCTGCATCGATCATGATCATATCTGCCCCAGCTTCTAAGCATCTTTCTGCCCTTCTGATCAAGAGATTAACATCTTCAACCAATTCTGCAGAAAACATGGGTAAGCTTACAACAAAAAGAGGCTGCAAAACATTAGATTTCCCTCATTCCAAAAATATTAATTTTAACCAGTTGTTAATTCAGTAAATCCAATAACCACTTCCATATGTTGCTCCAGGAAATAATACCATGGAACCTGGTTTTCAACAATCAATCCAGCTACCGTATTCGTTCAGCCACAATTATGTCCAAAAGAATCATATGACCTTTCTAAGTAAATAAAATTTTCAGCTCAAACAGAGAGATTATTAAATATTGAGGATTGTTGTCAAAAGTTAAATGTTTTAGGATGAAAAAGAAAAAGAAAAACCCTTGACAATGTAAGAAAGAGTTTGGACAAAACACAACTGGCACATTATGTAATAAGTATTTTAAGCTTTCTTGTAAATAATCTATGAAAATAAGAGAATTCATAGAGAATAGCTTATGTAAAGGAATCTGTGAACATACCAGATGACTGGGGTGCTGGAGGAACATAAGCCCCAAATGCTCTATCACCTCCTAAGGGGATGTCAGACTTGTTGAATTTCACCATAAACAGGGGTTTCGCTCTCAGACCACCACTCTTAATCAAGCGCACATATCTTAGAAGAGTTTCTTCAGGGATTCCGAGTGATGTTGCATCCAGTTCAATTGTGTCAAAGCCCATTTGCTTACACTCCTGTAAAAACTTAAAAAAATAAGTGATTGCTGTAACAATAATGGCCTGCTCACACATGTGCCAAGAATAAAAAGTAAATGATTTTTCTATCCTCTAATTCCCTACCATCCAATATGAAAGGATAGTCACTTTTTTCTGAAATCTCACAAAATTAGAAGCAAGCAAGTCTAAAGCTAAGATGTTCTGATAAACTCAGATGCTCCAGCAAAGAGATAGAAAACGCATCTAACTGTTTCTTTCAAACAACTTACCTCAACATATTCTTTGAAAGCCGATGGACCTTTACGAAGCAGATGTTCACCCCAGCCACCAGTACTAACATACACATCATGTTGGTGAGCCGTGTCAATCACTTCTTTGATGAAAGATTTTGGCATCAGACTGTGAGAACCCCCATAAAACTTCAACCCATCAACAAACTGCCCCATGGACTCAAAAATATCCTGCAGAGCATAATTGAAGCCATGCAGTAGATACGGAGAAGGACCCATATGAGAAAAAATGAAGTTGACCCATAAATGCATAAAAAAAAGCTAGCAACAAAATCTCTCTCAGAGAAGTTAATTTGCAGCCAAACGCATAATTATCCAAATTGATCAAGTTATTGTCTTTGCTTCGGATTCTGATTTAATTTGCTAGTTATTTATAAGATCAAGCTGGATCAACTAGATGCTGAAATGGGTAATAATTAAAGAGGAAAGATTAGCAAAGGAAACAACAATGAATACCTGAAGAACATTATGGCTCAACAGAGTATGATTAGGACCACGCATCTCGGTAACCCCATAACGGCGGGGCTTCTCCGGCCTGTCCTCATCTTCGTCGAAGGTTTTCCAACGACACGCCGACATTTCTCGTTTTCTGGGCTCTTCTGGTCTCCGCGCAGGTAGAGCTCTGAGGGGAAAGGAGAAATTATTTTCGTCTCGAGCAGTTTCTAGAGAAATGTTTCTGTTTCTGCTTCTGCCACTAGCTGCTTACACGACACACGTTGCAAACGTGTAATGATTTTTTATGGATTGGCTCAAAACGCTGCGTTGCAATTAATTTAAATTCAATAGTGCATAATAGAAAACGGCGGATGGATACCATTTCCGATACCAAGCGTCCGCCCAAATTTTACGATGTGAATTATGCAGTTTATTGTAGCACAATTTACATTATATAATATTTTTTTTATTTCATTAAAATTTTAATTTTTTCGGTTTATTTACCAAACAAATTTAGCATTTCCCAAAAAAATAGAGAGAAATGATTATTTCACGATAAATATAGTAATATTATAATTATTAATTTTATATAAATTTATAAGATTATAAATATAATATAATATTATAAATTAATTTTTAAATAAAAAATTAATTAAATAATATATTATATTATAAATTTATAATATTATATGATATTATAATTATGTAACATATAATATTTTCATAACATGTAGTTCATGAAAAAGTCAGAAAAGTGGAAAGCCTGCAATTAAAGATGGATTCCAAGCTTCAAGCTGCAGTTTTGACGTGTTATCTTCACAAAGTCACATTTCTTTCTTTTTCACCTTCTTTTCTTTCTGAGTTCTGATTCCTTCCATGGGAGACAAGAAAACTAGAATATCGAAGGGCAGGGGAGAATTGTTGATTAACCTGAATCATGCATTTCAAGGACCAGCAGCACAGCTTGGGTGGCACAAAAGATGGTACTAAAGAAAAACTTAAAAACAAAGGAGGCTTTTAATTTTAAGTTTTTAACCCCTAAATCACAGCTAATCTCTCTACCAGTTTGTTACTTTATCTTCTATTCTTCAGACCTGGCCTCACTTTATTCTTATTCTCATCTTTATGTTGAGCTCTTATAAAGAGAGGAGCTTCACACACGATTTCTCCTGCCTTCTTCCTCCTCTCATACTCGTAGCATCTCCATTCCTGCAATATCAATCAGAATAAAGCATGTCGAAAGACATTGGTGTTCTTGTGTGTCTCTCGATCATGGTTTTGGACATTTCTGCTGGAGTAATCGGAATTGAAGCTGAAATAGCTCAGAACAAGGTAACATATATAGATTAATAAAAATTATGGATTTAAAGGCTTTCCTTCTTTCTTTCTCAACGTAATAGCATGATACGGTTCCCTTGAACAGGTGAAGCATCCTACCCAATTGGTAGTTGAGTGTACAATCCCAAGTTTTAAAGCCTTCAAGTTAGGATTAGCTGCAACTATTCTCCTTGGCCTTGCCCATGTTATTGCTAACGTTCTTGGTGGGTGTATTTGCATTGGGTCCAAGGCTGATTTACCCACTGCTAACAGGCAATTAGCTATTTCTTCCCTCATTTTCTCATGGTATGCTTGCAATCTCTCCTATCAAAGAAACAATTTTTGTTGTTTAAACCCCATCTCTTGCTTCAGTGACTAACGTAAAGATCTTACCAAAAAAAACAGGATAATCTTGGCAATTGGGTTGACGATGCTGATAATAGGAACTCTGGCAAACTCAAAGTCAAGGAAATATTGTGCTACACCGCACCATCGTCTTTTCACAATTGGAGGCATTCTGTGTTTCATTCATGGACTCTTCGCTGTTGCCTATTACGTTTCTGCAAAAGCCACAGCCAAAGAAGAGAGACAGAATCGCCGTGGAAGCCAGGCTTGAATTTCTTAAGATTTGTAATAGATCTTGCAACTAAGATTTCTGAGAATATGTGCAAAAATTCTCATCTTTGATCACTGAAATTGATTATTACATCAATTGAAGCAATTACCAATCTTCAGTTTTTCACATTTCCTAAAACTAACCCTGTCACGCCTCAAATTCATGAAAAAGTATGAGCGAATCTAATATATAAACGTAAACACAAAAAATAAACAAATAAATCAGTCAAAATGGAAAGAAAAAATAACCACATCTGTTTCCTGTTTGGCTATCTTTTTTTCTTGCATTGGATTCAAGGGTACCTAATTAATCATCATCAGCAGGGCCTTTGGTTGCAGTCTTCTTAGGCAACAACATATTGTGAATGTTTGGCAAAACACCACCGTTCGCAATGGTCACCGTCCCGAGCAATCTGCTCAACTCCTCTCGTTCCTCACGGCCAACTGAATGTGTCTTGGAACGATCCTCGATTTCTTGTTATCCCTAGCTGCATTCCCAGCCAATTCCAAAACCTAAATGACAAGAAATCAGAAACCAGATGTATCAAGAAATGTGGGGGAAAATCCAAAATTAATAAATGCCTTTTTTAAACCTCGGCGGCGAGGTACTCGAGAACGGCGGCAAGATAAACGGGAGCTCCAGCACCGACACGATCGGCGTACTTTCCGGCCTTCAAGAAGCGAGCGATACGACCGACGGGGAACTGGAGGCCGGCCTTGTGGCTCCGCGATTGCCCCATCTTCTTTGCTCCGGCGCCTATTGCTTTTCCCCTTCCGGCCATATTTGCTTCGAATCAGAATCTCAGGCTTAGATATCACAAATCGGAGGAAACTTTCAACGATTTCGGAAGTGAAGATGTGAGATCGTCGGAGATTTCTAATTTGAAGCAGTTTTATATGGGGGAGAGCTGGATAAGAAACAATGAGGGGTTGTCACGCGGATCTTGATCTGTGGCCGTAGATTAAGGTGTTTGTGGACGGTTAGATGATGGGGTGTAGTGTATTGGTGATTTAATGCTTTTTCGAAGGCGGGAATGTCGGAGATTTAGTCGTTGTGATTGTTCGAAAATGTCCCGTGCCGCCACGTTGGATATTCGGCTTTTTAATAATATGATTTTGGAAATAAATATGCTAGGTGATTGCTTTCAAGTTTTACAAAAATGAGTTTTTCTATTATGTTGTATGGGAGAAGGGTATATATATTATATTTTTTTATTATATATAATAAAATTAAAAGATGATATTAAATTTTATTAATTATTTAATAAAAATATTTATATGTCATAAATGTTAAAATTAATGTTA